ACCGAAATGCTCAGTTTCTGTTGGCATGTCGGCTCCTACACTACACTACACTACAATGTCCAAGGATTAAAGTGAAGTTATACCGGTCGATGGTGATCAGCAGTGGCCACAAGATTTGATGTGTATTTCTTCCTATTTGAGACTCCTTGATTCATAGACATTGTCCAAAGCTTTCCCATCCCACTAGGAGCTGCCAACAAGACAACAGAGTCACTGAGCATTTTGGTCTAACATAATTAATCAATCAATAGGGAATGTGAAATTAACCTAAAAAACAAATAATAATCGATACCCGTTACATGAAAGGTGGTTCTGGTGGCCCACAAGAATAATTCTTTGGTGTTTGAAACAACGGGGTGTTGGGTTCGAGTCCCAGTGAGAACATCACCAATCACTGGGAAGGCACGCACATCCAGTTGACGAGTCCTGAATAGGACTAAATGCGTATCCTAGATTCCACAGCTGGTTACCACCACCAACCGAAATACAAGTGTTTTAAATGTATTTGAATAATAGTAATAACGGATGTGAACAGAATTCACCAGTTTCTTTCTTTCTTTCTCTCTCTCTCTCTTTCAATACCTATTGTAATCGATTACATATGCAGCTGGTGATACAAGAGTAATAGTAGTCATAATTAACATTATTGTCATTATTACCTGCCTATAATGCAAGAATGACCTTGAAAACGAGCGCGCGTGCGAGAGAGAGAGCGAAAAAAACTATTTCAACAATGTCTGATCACTTATCGATCATTTTATATCATTTGAAAATCTATACCTAATTATATTTCAGATATGTATTAAATATATATATATATATATTTATGTAATTAGGAATGGATGTTACGTGTAAAGAAAATCAATATCGATATAAACAACACACACACACACACGCATACAAGCGTACATGAATGCATTGCATATATGCATGTGTATCTATATATCCACTATACAATATTTTGTACGGATTAAAAATAATTGATTTTTCTCACTTTGCATGTTCATGTGTGTGTGTGTGTGTGTGCGTGTCAGTGAATGCTATAACTTTAATTATAGAATAAAACTCATTCACAATATAAGCAAAGTATATTATCACTGAATATATATATATATATATATGAGCGAAGACATATTTTCAGAGAAAAACATATTTCCAGGTTATTCTTTGATAAAAGAAAATTAATAATTGGATACCTAAAATTGGTCTCAACAACAAATGCTATGACAAGTTGAAAATTTATCGCTGTGTTTACTGTGTTATAATGTCAAATACATATATATGTATGAGATTGAGTGATTTCGACTGATTGATTGATAGCATTGATAGGCATAAGTGATTTTCGTGAGTGATTGGGAGGAAGAGACATTTAGAAATTATATATTTCTTCATACAATTCTTTTCCGTTAACAAAATTGAAAAAAAAAAACAACAGCAAGAACGAAAAATGTACCAGGAGTCGAGTCAACATCTCTAGTATGGTCACTCCCCCCCACCAGGTGAATCATGTCATATAACATATCTATCCTATCATCTAATATTCTGTTAGATGAAATAGCCATTTGTAAGTCAGAGTGATCTCAGGTTTGTATCCCATCTGAGGGACTATGTGCGTCGGTGGTTGCAAGCCACTCTCTCGTGGTTCGGGTTTGTCTCCCGATAGACGCATTCTTAAGCCTTGCCTAGTCGGTTGTAAATCCTGTAAAGAGGCAGGAGACTGGATGTGGGACTACTAGAGAACCCCTCTGTGTAAATAAAAAAACGCTACTCTACTACGAAAGCTCAGGCCTCCACTCAGAATTCAAAAGAATAAGAAAAAGTCAGAAAATATATTATGCTTTCCCATTGCTACAATAAAGTTGAAGTCACGGATTGATATCCGTTAGAAAACCATTGAAAACCAAGGAGTACTGGAAAGTTGCTTCACCCTAGTTTGGGGCTTATCGACAGTACTCACCCAGTGGGGTTTCGAACCCAGGAACTACCTGTTGCAAGGCAAGCTTGTAGACATTTCGACCACTGGGACCAAACTCAATAGTCCATCAATTCTAATTTCTATCAATTCCTGATTTTAGAGCGACGGCCGGCCAATGTCATCGGTGAGTATTTGCCCTCAATGTCGACCAGGTGGACCTCGCTGGTCACAACTTTTCACTAGAACTCCAGGCAACTTCGTCCTGCAGTCAGTCGCTAGCCATTGAGTCGGGTTCCAATGGCTGAATGCTCTACGAGCTTGCCTTGTAACCGGAAGGTGATAGGTGATGGGTGAGTACTGCTGATGAGTCGAGAACTAGGACGAAGCAGTTGTCCAGTACACCCTACTGGTTTTCAGTGCTTCTCAAACTGATATCAATCCATGATCAAATTTGAAACAAACCAAATCTCCACAAACAAACTCATGAGAAGTTAAAATCGTTTGGATACTTTTATTTTTGAGTCATTTGAAGTTTGAAGCTTGAGAATCTCAGTCTATTATACATGGACTGTGTAAAGATGTAGTTCATTTAGCTTAAGGAATGAACTTTCAGTTGGTAAATGTATTCCACAACCGCACATAAGACTTCATCTAATTTAGCTTCGGGGAACTTGAGTAAGACAAGCTTTCACTACTCTCAAGTCTGTGTGGAGGTCAACAGCACTCAGCATCAAAAATAAGATCCGGATTTTCAACTCCAATGTGAAGTCAGTGCTACTCACTATACGGATCAGAGACTTGCACTGCGCGTCATAAAGAGCATCTCAAACAAACTACAGAGTTTCATTGACAGTTGTCTTCGCTCAATACCAATCAAGATCAGATGGCCAGAAAAGATCAGCAACAAAGATCTCTGGGGGCGAACCAACCAGGAACCGAATGTGAAACAAATAGGCAGGAAGAAATGGGGATGGGTTGGCCATACTCTGAGGAAATCATCAAGTGACATTACTAGACAAGCCATTGCTCGAGTGGAACCGGAAAGGGAAGCGGCGAGTTGGTCGTCAGTGCAAGGGTGACTTGGAGGAGGTTATGTGAAGAGGAGAAGAAAACGTGTGGGCAGACTTGGAGCCAGGTGAACACTGTAGCAGAGAACCGAAGGGAATGGAGACGCACGGCTGAAGCCCTATGTTCCTCTAGGAATTAAAGGAAACAATATAATAATAATAACTTGAGTAATATCATAAGCCTTAACACAATAGATATGGCTAATAGCCTGACCCAATATGAAGTGTATAAACTGGGATAATAGGTGTAAGCATTCATATTTAAAATTGATAACAATCCTACTGTGAATACAAAGTTGAACTTTCTTAATCAGACAGTAAATCCAATTGTCATTTAATTAAAAGACTTGTGTGCAGTATTCATTAGTAGTTTCAAGGTAGTTAGTTTTTCAATAGTCGAAAATGTTGATAAAAAGATGGAGTACAGATGGCCTTACAAATTGACTTATTACTCGCCGATTAACTTCATGGCGTACATGAAGTCCAGTAGTCTCCAATCGACGAGAGAGAGAAATATGAATGATATCTTTATCATTGTTGACGAAAATGTTGAACCAAGTAAAATCTTAGAGATTGAAATTAAAGTGGAATCAGAAGCTAAATTAATCCTTCGTTGATGGATTTACCACACGCGGAAATAGAAGGTGCACTGTTAACAAACTTTCACAATTTTATCCCAACAAGAAGAAAAAGAAATCCCGTTGCCTCCTCTTACAACGAGAATCGAAAAGCATTTACACTGAAGACATATTCAACAAGGGGGTTGGAATCCTTCAGATACAATCCTAATTAAGAATGAATATCCAACCTTCTTTATCAATAATCATTTAAAGAGAATGACTAATGCTCAACAAAACCTGGATATGCTGAAGAAAAAACCGATTTGAAAGTTGAAATTCAAAAGGGACAAAGTTAGTTAAGTCCTCGAAAGCTGTCTGCCAAGGGCGATTCGACGAGCGTTCATTCTCGCATTTCTACACCTTACTTCGCCTGCACATGCTCTTTTTTTTTACTGAGACTCAAAGACAATACTACACTATTGATAACTTCTGGGTGCATTTGTGAATTCAATTGCTCCTCTGGAGTTAAGTACACAGGCCATACCAGCAAGAAATGGTCTGAAAGCAAATGCACGCATAGGTCCATGTGATCTCCACATGATGTTTATGGCTGGTTGTAAAGCTACTCAGGTTGTAGAAGAAATGAGACGATATAGTGTAGAAGTGTTAGAAATCTGTGAAAACAGATGAAACAGAAGTGAACTCTACAAATTGTTCGCTGGAGTAACCAAGAATCGCACCCAGACCCCCACGTGACTGATGAGCATTCCTACCACTGAACCTCCGATGCACAATATGTATGAATTCATTTTATGCATTATAATCAATTCCGAGACAGTTACATACTACTTATTTGTGAACTGCTTTCTAAACTCATATGGTCTGCAGTTAATATCTTCCATTGGACACTAGTCAGCATGGTGACCACATTGCAAGCTTAACTGATAGAATTCAGTCTGCACCGAAGATAGGACTAGACAAACACATTACACTAGTTTCTGACAGTCCTACAGGAGGTCAATCTAGAGCCTGAATAGCTCAGTGGTAACGTCTCTGACTGCAGTACTCACTGGGTGATGCGGGTTCGAATCTCAGAAGGGACATGAGTTCCTTCGAGGTTGCAGATACGCTTTGCTGACTTGTGAGTGTCAACCAGCACGAAACCTAGGTCAGGCAAGGCTTCCTGCCGATCGCCTCCAACCATCTACTACTAACAGTTAATATCTTCACTGATTGATGTCATTTCATTGTATACATGGAAGAGGAAACTGCAAAGATCCAAATGGTCTCTGTTATCTGAAGAAATGATGGTGAAGATTTGCAACTCAGATGGGGTGGTACTGGACACGGTTAACTGTCACAATGACTGAATAGTCATAGTGGGCTTGCCTCGTAACGTGATGGTCACGATATTGAAAATAAAAACACACAACAATAATATACACCAAATAAACCTACCTGAAGGAAGTTTTGTCATTAAAGACAATGGTATATGCGATGGAATTGTACTATGCACAACAGATAAGATAGAAGATGGAGGTGAAGAGGATAGCATATTCGATGATGGGATGAAAGTATTTTCATAGGTAGAACAATTTGTAAGAATTTTCAATGGCATAAAAGAGGATGTATTGACTGTTAGAGGGCTATAGATTCCAGTTGTTGTTGTTATTGTTGCTTTTGGTAGGAGTGCTGGTGTTAGTGGCGGTAGACATTGTGATGAACTAGACGTTAGGTAAACAAGATTATCTGACTTGACACAAGGATTGGAAATCATCTGACCATCATTATCATTATTATTGGTTGTAGTTGTAGTATTAATAGCCACAGTAGTATCTTGTGCATTGTTTAAAGGGCTAACAGTTCCACAATCAATAGATGACTGTTTAGTATTCATAATTGGTATAGTATCAATACCACTGCCATTATTATTATTATTATTATTACTATTATACGATAGATTTATTAAATGTGAAGATGTTGAAGAACACGACGAAGATGATGCTGATGATGATGAAGGATGTAGATTTTGCAGAGTAATTCGATTCACAAGAATATTTTGAAGAGATACTAAAACATTTTGAATATCTGAGAATTTCTGTTTCAGCTGATTAACTTCTTGAAATAATTTATTTTGCTGAATAAAGAAATAAAGGAATAAATCATAAGATTATTTATTTTTATATCTAGAAAACAATAATAATAATAATTGATGGATAGAAGTAAACGGTGATTACAACGGAATAATTTTTTTGTGGAAAATCCCTGTTGAACGGCCTAATATATAATCACATTATTTACACTTGTTTGGATGTTTCAACTAACTGATGTCAGCTTAGGAGGAAATCCTCCAACCAGACAAACAAAATCCCTACAAAATCAATATTTGAAAATTAATCTGATGCTCACTAGGGACTTGCCCTATTCAGGTGGGGTTACCTGGGGTTCTAGTGGTAAGCCATGACCAGTAGGGTACAAAAGGTTGAAGGTGAGGCAGTAACTCATCGAAGGAGATATTGCGAAGTGGTCGCGCGATGTCGTGAATTGGCAGAAGGTAGAATTCATGGACCATTGCACCGGGTCCCAGTGGCTTAATGGTCCACGAGCTCGCTTGTAACCAGAAGGTCATGGGTTCGAACCCCTGTGGTGGGTGCATACTGACGAGGAGTCCCAAACTGGGACAAAACAGCTGTCCAGTACTCCCTGTTGGTTTTCCAATGGTTCTCTAACTGATGTCAGCTCATAATGAAATCCTCCAACCAATCAAACAAAATCCCTACAAAACCAATACTTGAAAACTTAATAATCATTGTCCGGTTTTCTTCTAGACCGTATATATCATTGTTCTATTTTAATGCTTCTCTTTGTTGTTGTGCGACACATTGATGATAATGTGTTGTTTTACAATGTGAATTTATTTGAGTGAATCAAGGTCATTCTAATACTGGACTGTTGACGGAAAGCACTGATGTGTGATTCTTGTGGACAGAGTTTTTAATCCCACTCTGCTGGGAATATTCTACTTGATTCTAAGGTACTTCCTTACATTTGAATTTCGGTTAACTAATTTCGTTCTACAGTACTTGTTTTGTGCTTAGAAACCTACATTGCCTGTATAGCTGCCTAACGGCACTGTGTTGAGGTTAGTTGTGAGTTTTTGATGTTATCATTGTTGAACAGAACCACATATAGATTCCAATCAGAAACAATAGTCGTTTTGCTGTCTTTGGAGCATTTTGTGACTGTGCGTTTCTCGAGGAAGTTTCGAACAGTTATACTGAAGAACACACAAGGATCGGTTCTCTGCATTTAGACAAAAACGAGTACGTTTTGGTCGCTACAGAGATATTCTTAGACATGCGTACACATTTCACAATCCACTCGTCTACACTTGGTTACCATTTGAAAGGGAAAAGGATACTTGTCTATGTAATCGGGACAGGAGGCTAACGAGTTAGTCAGAAGATTTAAAAAATAATGAAATCAAACAAGTGAGGAAAACATAACTAGTAAACAACTACCGACGAGAATTTATTCGGAAAAAGTGAATGAATACTCGTAGGAAAAACAAGAATAATCATGAAAATGATGAAATAATATGGAATTTAAAGTCTCTGTAGTACTGCCGTATAGAGAAGGAACATTAGAGGCCCTGGGTAGGGTTCTTAATAAGGTTGGAATTAGGGTGGCATTTAGACCGACCAACTCACTCAGAGACACGTTTTGTCGGCTTGAAGACGTAATAGATCCAATTAAGAGAAATAATATAATATATTAAATACTATGTAACAACTATGAAGCCAATTGCATAGGCCAAACTAGTTGAGTTAGATTGTATATATATATATATATATCATCAGGTAGAACCAGAAATCAGTATAAAATAATCTATGCTCGTACAACCAAGTACAGGAACTCAACGATACCATATTTGGCCCGTGTTCTAAGTGACAGAGACAATGTTAAGCGCAAAACCTATGACTTGCTTTGTCTATAATAACATAATTTTAGACTCTTTTATTTCTCTTATTTTGCATTCTATGGCGAACTCCTTCTTAAACATACTTAGCTACCTAAATTACTAACATTGCTTACTTTTTTGGACTTTACTGTATTCCTTCTTTTGTGTATCTACTGGTTCCGACTATATTAGCACTATGAGTATTACAAAATTGTCCTGTCATTAACCATCATGTAATTATTAGTTTTTGTGGTTGCTGGTTTTTTGTTCGGCAATATTAACTGACAACCATTGGTTGTGAACGCCACTATCACCACCTTTAAATTTCGTATTATGCAGGATTACTCACACTACCACTACAAACACTGCATTAGACCTGACAATAAACAAAAACAACCCTGAAATGTTATTTTATGATTGTTCAGTGTTGTTTCAACCAAATTAATGATCTTTTTGGCGATAAACATTCTTAAATATCATTTCATAACTTCTTGTATGACTATAGCTTTACTGTCACCATGCATGATCATACCGAATACTGAGATACTATTATATGCTGTTTATTTCCCTATCTACTGCTTGGTATTTCTCGCATTTAAAAAAATTATTTTTGTGTTTTTTTTTGCTGTTGCTGTCTTTATATTTATTTTTTTGAAGTACTCCCTTTTAAACGTTGGATAAAATTAGATGCAAATATTGTAGATATGTGCTGAAAATTCCACACTGTACCACTAGTACTGTTTCTGGAATAAAGCAAATTATTATTATTATATATGCACATGAAAGTGATAAAATAGATACAAGATCTTATTCTTTAGGCTTCTGTAAACCAGTGGACGACTGAAGAACACTACTCTTTGCGTTGCTGTGAAAAATGTTCTCAATGATGTTGAAATTCTTTCCTTAAGGAAATCGTAGATTACATATCCCTTGAAATCAAGGCTTATTTAAGGCTTCTTTTTTGGCACAAATGATACTATGATAGATACACTCTAAACTTTCGGTTTGATGTTCGTGTCAAAAAATCTTGGTGGATATTCATTTTGTAATCCAAAGGGAATTATGCAACCATTTCCATTATCATGGTCAACTACTCTGTTGTTTTCAAACAACTTGATTTTTTTAATTCAAGTATTGGTTTGTAGGGATTTGGTTGATTGGTTACAGGATTTCATCATCAGCTGACATTGGTTAGAGAACCACTGGAAAACCTGGGAGTACTGGACAGCTGTTTCGTCCTAGTTTGGGACTCCTCATCAGTACGCACCCACCGCCACGGTTCGAACCCAGGACCTTCTGGTTACAAGGCGAGCTAGCTCGTAGACCATTAAGCCACTGGGACCCGATCCATTGGCCAGTCAGCCTATGAATTCTAACTTCTGCCAATTCACGATATAGCGCAACCGCTAGCCAACGTCTTCGGCGAGTATTTGTCCTCACACCCGACCTGCTGCACCCTACTGGTCACGACTTCCCACTGGAACCTACCTGAATAGGGCCAGTCACCAGTGAGCATCTCATTGATATTCGATTATTGGTTCGTAAGGATTTGGTTGATTGGTTACAGGATTTCATCATGAGCTGACTAGAAGGTCCAGGGTTCGAACCCCGGTGGGTGCGTACTGATGAAGAGTCCCAAACTAGGACGAAACAGCTGTCCAGTACTCCCAGGTTTTCCAATGGTTCTCTAACCAATGTCAGCTCATGATGAAATCCTGTAACTTGATTTTTTTAAAACTCTGTATAACCTTTGTATTCTATTCAAACTCTTACGTAATACCACCGCATTTTCGCTTGTTTCTATTTGAATCATGATTACAACTCATTTATTAAATTATTTATCTTGCCGAATAACTCTAACACGTCTTATTCAACTTCTCTTATGTATTGATTAATATCAATAACTATAAGTAATGACAACTCATCACTTTTGTTAAAAGAAAAAGAAAACTATTGTATATCAATCAATACGATTGTACAGTTAGAGAAAATTAATTCGCCGAAAATAGCCTCCTTGTAAATTGAACTACTTGTTTATGTTTTTTCATTAATACCTAGATGAGGATTATTCATGAGATAAAAATCACGTCTTTACCGGTAGGATATGCGATGAGTCATTTTTATAACAATAAAAATATATTATTATTTTTAATTCAACTTTGATCTTCTCGTTCATTGATTGGACCGAAATATTCGGCTTCTGTTAACATGTTGGCTCCTTGTGCAGATGCACCGACGATGTTAATCTTCAAGGAGCCGACGTGCCAACAGAGGCTGAGCATTCCAGTCCAGTCGATCAACAGGAAAATCAAAACTGAATTAAAATAAATAACTGACATCCGTTGTACAAGAGGTGGGTGTCATGGCCCAAGTGGTTTAGCGGGTAAAGCTTTGGGCGTTTGAAACTTTGGGTACTGGGGTTTGAGCCTCAGTGAGAACACCATCACTCACTGGAGATTGTAGATGCATCCACCTGACGAATCCCAAGTGGGACGAAATGCACATCCTGAGGCAAAGTTAAACTAGCACATCCCACAGGGTGCGAACGCAAAAGTGACCCTGAGCCGACCTATCATAAAATAGGTGATTTTTACACAAAAAAGACGTTTATTTACAAGAAAATGCATGAAAACACATTAAACAGGGTATCTTTCTCTGACATGACTTAAAAATACTTAGACCAGTTTTCTTTACATTTATTCACCAAGGTGACTTAAGGTGAGCTTTTTCCGTGACCCGTTTATCACTTTTATCCTGCTTTGCAGTCTTCCCCAAAAGCCCTTGGTTGAATTACTATGGTTTTCAGTAAGAGGATCGACGACTACTTACTGGGAGAATGTGGAAATAAAACAAATTAAAATAAATAATACCAACTCCAAACCTATCCCTAACCTTAATCCTAACCCTGATTATAACCCTTATCCTAACCCTAGTTATAACCCTGATCGTAACCCTAACGAGGTATTAACACATTGTCCAAACAGTACTTAAAAACGTGATATGGATGAAATTTGCTCCTTAGTGGGTGAATAGTGTTCATATTAGCACACTATTAATAATGATAGGTCTCGTTCTCCAACAACTAGTATGCATTCAAGGTCACTGGAGCGTTCGCATCCCTGAGACCTGATAGTTTAACTTCGCTCATCCTGGATTACAGCCCTAGTCACCATCCACCAAATTAATAAAAACTAAACTGCTTACTTATTTTGCTCCTTTGAGTTCCCAGTGGAACATAGGGCTTCATGTGGAGCTATGAAGTTTACCTATTATGGGTGCGGGCTGTTAGCCTAACGCCCGACCTTCCCTCTTTACCAGGTTTATTACTGGTTAAGCGAGGGAGTATTCGCTACCACTGCACCGCTGACGTACTTTTATTTATTTAATTTTTTTTTTAAAAACGGAAAAAGGACATTTATATATGCATGCAATACTCACCTGATTCTGTACATCTTTCAACATTTCCACACTAATACACTTCTTTTCACATTGATGTAGACAACATTCTGATGTATTTGTTAAACTAGCTGGTGTTTCATAAGAATTCGTTGCAGGTGAATCACAATCAATAGTATGATTATCATTTTCAATAATAGTAGGTACCATAGTTATTCTACGCCTGTCAAGAAAATAGAACAAATATAATTATGTTGAACATTGAACTATACACAATAATAAAGGATTTGATTTTCAAATGTTGGTTAGCAGGGATGTTACTGATTTAAAGTTAGACCGGGGATTGACTTCAGTGAGAGAACAACTGTAAATCAGGGAGTACTAGACAGCTGGAGTCCACCAAGTCGTTTATGAGGACAGACACTCGCCAATGACACCGGCTGGTAGTTGCGCTATATATCGCAAACTGTCAGAAGTTACAATTCATGTGCCTTTAGATTCTATTGTAGTCCTTGAAAGGTCAACGAGCTAACCTCATAACCTGGAGACCATAAGTACGATACCTGATGGTGTCATGGGTGCCCAATCTAGGATGAAACAGTTGTTTATTGCTTTCTGGTTTCCAGTGTTTCTCCAATTCAGGTCAGTTCGTGTTTCACTTAAAATTGGATTCAAAGACAAGTTTAACGACTATGAATATACCTGGTAGGAGAATATTATCAGTAATAAGATAAGTATATGATAAAGTATCAGAGAATTTGGTTCATTCTATATAAATTCGAAATATAACATCATAAATATACCGAAAGTGAAGTACATGGAGCGGTACTCGAAACAGGGACCCATTGGTTGGAATTCGAATGCGAATAATCTGAACCTCCAATGTCGTATATATTCAAGGGTATATATACGAAAAAAAATCCATATTACTTACCCCCAAAAATGCATTTTCCTGCCATATGTTTCAAATATATTTAAGGATTAAAATGACACAAATACACTGCATATGGCAAAGAAACTATGTGATGTAACCAACCAAACGCTTCTCTTTCATTCCACCAAAATACAAAAATAAATCGAAAAGCAACTACTTCACAATTTTGGATGATAGTGACTAGCAGTGGAATCCAGGGAGTACATTTCGCTCTATTTTGAACTCATCAACTGGATGCACCTGCATTTCCAATGACTAAAAGTATCCCCACTGAGACTCTAATCCTACATACCGAAGTTAAATAGGAGGAAATGTGCAACCGGGATTTCACTGCCAGTCACCATCCATCAATCAAAAATAACTTCAAGTTAACTTTCTTAGACATCACTGAAGCATTCACATACTAACAGTCAACATGTCCAACAGAGATCGAGTGTTTCGATACAAAATATAATCATCAATCAACGGGAAATGTCAAATTAAAAACCTAATAAAACAACAACTTCACATTTCATTTTAAATAATAATAACAATGAGGTTATTAAAAATTAAGTTATCCTGTGAAGAATAGCCGATATTTCTCTACAGACTTTCCGACTACACACGTGATTGATTGCCAATTGCATAACAATGTACTTATACTGGTTAAGTTAGGATTCATTATCATTATTTTTATTTTTTTTGTAACAAAAACCTTTTTAAGGCTATGAGAAATATATTTAAAAAATACCCAAATTTATGCTACATACACATACATATGCATCGGTGGCACAGCGGTTAGGACGCTCGCCGGCCATGAACATGGTCCGCGGTTCGATCCCCGGCCACCGACGCACTCCTTTACCTCGCTAAGCCAGTAGTAAGACTGGTAAAGAGGAAAGGTTGGACATGGGGCTAGCAACCCCATCCTGTAAAAATAATCACCACTGCTACAGAAACTTCAAGCTGGCTCTAGCTTGAAGCCCTATGTTCCACTGGGAACGTGAAGGAATAAAAAAAAGATACATGCATATATATATATCATTCATTCTACGCTAAAACAAATGTTAACAGTGTAAAAGAAACGTATCCTATGGGTCAAATTAATATACGTGTAAAACCTGGGCACTGTGGTTTCATGTTAATTTGTTTATTGGATATACCACACACAATGAAACAATCTTGTTTACTGGATGACAAAGTTTCGAACATAATTCATTGTTCATAATCATAACAATTGTAAGCACACAACTTCAAAACGTGATTTTTATAGTTTTCCTTCTTCTTTCCCATTTGTTGTAGGGGTAGTAGAATACTCCAGATGTTCGGGACAGGTGTTGAATCATTTCTATTGAACCTATTCTAAGTTGATTCGATAATTAAAGCTTCAGTTGTTCCAGTCTCTCCCTTCACCCTATTACCTATTAGATTCACCTTATCCTATACTATCGTATGGTTGTGTGTCTGTCTGTCTATTTTCGACTTTGTACATATGTGCGGCAGTTCAAGTCACCACACTCCCTCCTTGTAGCACACAAAGCAAGAGAAGAAAGTAGGAGAAGTGCATATTAGAGACAGTAAACAGAGGTGTGAGACAAAGGAATAGTAATAACGAAGAACAAAACAGTTTCATTGGAAATCATAAGTCACAAGGAGTGGATGCATCTGCGCCAGCCATTGAGAACGATTTTGAGCCATGTCACCAATTGTTTCCAACCATTGGTTTTTACCGTCCCGAGGACCCCAACCAGGAAGTCTACACCTTCCTACGTGGCTTAGACTAACTGTTGTAGATTTCATTGACTGGTGCCATGTTTTCGTTTGACCGCCGCTAGCTCTTTTCCAGCCTGACCCTATATCAGCTAACATTGCCCGTCGAGGAAGGCGATGACTAGGCATACGTAACACATGTCCTAACCATCTCAGTCGATGTAACTTCACAGCCTCGTCGATTGATTTCCCCTCCTTACCTAGCACTCGACGCCTAACCTCAATATTGCTCACCTTATTATACCACTTCACACGGGAGATAGAGCGCAGACATCTATGATCAAAGACAGCTAATCTTTTCATGTCTTCCACTCTCAATGGCCAGGTCTCACAGCCATAAAGGAGGACGGAGCGGACTGATGAGCAGTACACACGCCCTTTGGTCGATAGTTGGATATCACGTCTACGCCAGAGACGGCGTAAACTGGCCCTCTGTATCCGGTTGTGTGTAAATGCACGTAGTGCTATAACTGAGTGTTTCTACAGATTTCTTATTTTATTACGGTCTACTAGTCTAGCTAACGTTTTTGCTCTCCACTAATCTAATTGACCCCAGCCTACTTACTTTGACCTGACAATCATTGCACAGGGTATTAAGCAAACTAAATTATTCTGTTTAATGGGCTCCACAGGATCTGTTAACCGGCATAATTTGTTTCTTAATGAGTTTGTGGGTTCGAATGCTGCTTTTCTTCCTGCTTTGTCAGGAACTCTACATAAGGTTTAAAAGATTACTTCTTTGTATGGAAGCACTACTGGTATTGTAAATTTCTTATTCCTGGTGTTTGTCATTTAAGTCGTCCTTATTACTTATTTTATTTTTATTTGATAAATCACAAGTGTTACAATGACGTTTCGAGCACAAATTATTGCTCATATTATATAATTATGAGCAATAATTTGTGCTCGAAACGTCGTCAGTTAATATTACTGTATAACAGTGTGTGATTTATCAAAATAAAATCTTATCCATAATGGAGTTACACTCTACCACAGTGCCCAAGTTTTATACTTATATCAATAATACTTTATTCTTATAATTTCCCACATACTTCCTAATCGATTTATCGGGGTAATTATTAAGCAGCAAAGCTTCGCTTACAAGTCTCACTTCCTGCTGTAGATTTTCTTCGGTACTATTTACCTTATCACTTAAACATTTCACTAATCCTGTTTTCAAATCGATTGAAATGTGGGTGTTTTCTGTAAACACTAGTGTTCAACTTCCCATCTATTTTTCCTTTTTATAACGCAATTCAACATTGACATCTCCCTTTCATAATTTTCCAACTCATAAGTGAAGCGAATTACATCTATCGTTGAGTTAATGTGTGTTCGAAAAACCAATTGATATCTTGTGTTTTTAATACCGTGAGTATGTCATCCATATACCTTCACACCACAATATCGGGATGGGACTGGACGTTTTAATCGATAACTTTTCCTACCTATCTATCCATAGATCTGTCACTATTGGGGATATCAGTGACCCCATGGCAACTATCTCAGTTGGTGTGCATATTGTTTCCATTGGAACTTGAATACTGTCAACGTCAGGCATAGCTGCACTCGTGGCGTGACGGGAATCCAGTAAACAGTGCTGTTTTCACTGGGATATATCCAATTCGAAAATTTAAATTAATGATTTTTTAGAATATAGGAATCGGGATAAATTCGACAGAAAACTCTTGGAAACCATTGGAATGTAATTTTAAAAAACTGCCAATATAAAAAATATAGTCCACAGTAGTCTAGACTGCACATATTATACAGTCAAAAGTTATAAACACATTCAGAACGCCAATAAAAGGAGAGTGAAGACGATAGTGGCAGTTTTTTGAAATAATAGAGAAGATTAGGAGTTCAGGTGGTTGATTTTGATGTGGTAGTATACTCTGAGCAGGATGGTTTAATTACGATGCCCCAGGGTCAGACAGTGGGAAACGAGAAGACAGGGATATCCTGGACCGACGTGAAGAACCTAGAAGACCTGGATTTCGCGCGTGGATGATTTATGTTTGATGTCACACAAAATCGAAGACTTACAAGCGAAAACCGACAAACTGGTCGAAGAAGCAGCTGGAGAAGACAGGACTCCAGGTGAACATAGACAAGACGGAGGTTATGAAAATAACCAACCAACAACAACAGCAACATCCAGCGCCAATCACCATCAACGGGAGGGATTTGAAAGAGGTTACTTCTTTCACTTATCTAGGGAGCATTGTCTCAACTACACGAGGAACGGACGAGGATGTCAAATCGAGAATCGGGAAGGCGAGAAACACATTCATCAACCTGAAACCAATCTGGAAATCTTCGTCACTCAACATCAACAACAAAATTCGGATTTTCAATACAAACGTCAAGTCAGTTTTGCTATACGGATCAGAAACTTGACGGGTCACAAAGAATATTTCCAACAGCCTGTTGCAGACCTTTATCAACAACTGTCTTCGCTCTATACTGAAGATTAGATGGCCGGAAAGAATCACCAACAAGAAACTATGGGAACAAACAAAACAAGAACCAATCGCTCA